TACTGTAGCTACAAGTAGAGTTGCTAGATTAATGCTCTTTCATGTGCTAAAAACGTGATTTGAGAGGGTGTAAGTCAGAGGTAAGTAGAGTCATGAACATTGTGGAGAAAACAGGTGGGGAATAATTATTTCATGGTGTACGAGAGGAGGGGTGCTCAGTGAAATTGTCCGTTAGGTCTAAAATAAGCATTTGGAGGTATGTTTTCATACAACATATAAAGAAATCATAGGTACTGAAAAGGTACTAGAAGGTACAAATGAAACTCAGAAATATAGAGTTATGAGAATTATTAGAAAGAGGTAAGAAAAATTCAGACTATAGGAATAAGATAAATTCAGTGGAACATTAGTTTAGGAGAGACCCTGCTGATTTCACTGGGGCTTGACCCATTTACACTGCCATGGTCAGTACATCTGCAAAGAGGCAGAGCTCATGTCTCAGGCAGTGCCAAGAAATGCCATGATTTGATTAAACAGTTTTGGCCCGTCATGCTACACATGAGCCTTTAAGGCACCATTGCAGTAAAACTTCACCAGAACTGGTTATTCAGGCCTGTGGCTTCATCCCTTGCCTTTCAATAGTATTTTATGTACTGACTGTCATAAACACTGATATAAATGAGCCAAAGGTCTAGCCTTATATTTACACTTGTAATTCCCTTTTGTAAGCAGTGGCTTTTATACCACAGCATTCTTTCGGAAAGTCTGACTGCTTTAGTTTCCCATCCTGGTTCCCCAGCAGTAGCTATATAAGGCTTTAGCTTATATAAGGATTACCTCTGCACATTATATTTGCTTCCTCTAAAGAAATAATTTCCCCCCCTCTTTCTCATTTCTACACTGTTATTTTGCTCGCTTTGCACATCCATCCCCTCCTACCTGGCAGGGAGCCTTATGAAAAGGTCATCACCTTGTTCCCTTTAAAACTTCATTTTTAAACTCCTATGTCCTGATCTCTGCAAAGAGAGAAGACAGCGGTGGAAGAGCTGTGGGATGCTGAGATCCCTCTAATTGTCTCCCTGTGATGCATTGCTCAGGACTCAGATAAACGATCAAGTTAATGCACCTTAGCAATTATTGTGCATCTGCCGCGCCAGGATATCTCCCAGCATGCATGATTTACACCTTTTGCAGCCATGGAGAGATTTCACTTAATTTACATTACAATGAAAACAGTTTAGCCTAGTTGCCTTACCTTCTCTTTGCCATGCACAGAGAGCAGTGTATCACTGCAGCATCAGTAGCAGCATCTCATAGACAATATCCTATCCTCATGGGACCAAATGCCTGGTGCTTCTGCAGATTGTGCATGCCTGAAATGGGAACCAGGGATTTTGTTCTGTGCTCCTGAGAGCACCCAGAGGAGGACTTTTGTTACACAAAAGGCTTCCATTCACAAATGAACATCTGAAGGAATGAGACCCTCTTGCACATTCTAATTGCCTTGGCATTTTCTAACCATGACCAAACTGGGACACAGGAGGCTCCATCTGAACATAAAGAAACACTTTTCTACTGTGAGGATGACCAAGCACTGGAGCAGGTTGCCCAGGGAGTCTGTACAGTCTCTATCCTTGGAGGTTTCCAAGGATATCCAAAAGGCATCTGGGCATGCTTCTGAGCAGCTAGCTCAAGATGGCCCTGCTTGAGCAGAGGAGTTTGACCAGATGACCTTCAGAGGTCTCTTCCAACCTCAAACATCCTGTGATTCTATGAAAGCAGTGAGCTGAGTTCTAGTAAAACATGTTATGAGATTATTGTTATCATAAAAGAGAGTTAGTTGTGACTTTTTCATTTGAAACTCTTTGTAGGTTTGTTTTTTTCTAAATGGAAGGCCTCATCTCATCGCAGTGGATTTGGCTTTTAGGAGTAGATGCACCAGTTTGACAGTTTTGACACAAAAGACAAATTATTTCATGGGTGTTAACTAATACCAACCCCACCAAGGGGACTTTGTTCACACTGGGGACTTGAACCTCCTTTTTCTACAAAGCAGAGGAGAGCCTGGAGCACAAACCTACTGGCGGTAGGATGCTTTCCAGTTCTCAGTGCATCATCTCCTCCACTGTGCATTGCTAATTATGTGTTACAGAGTTATAAATCCCTGGTCTCCTTTCTCATTAATTCTCCAGGAATACAGTTTAATAACATTTAGCTTCAATCTGATTGGAAATAAGAAAGTATTGGAAACGTTGTGAACTGTCAAAGGCTGGAGATACCATTTCCAACTCCAGAAGCTCTGTCTATTCTGATACTACCACTTACATTTTGCAGGTTCAGTGTACTTCATTAGTACATTAGTGCATTGAGAAACACAAGTTAGTGTGAGATGGTTCTGGAAAACAGCATATAAAACTTTTGGTGTTTTAACACTTTACCTTCCCACTGAGAAGATAAGATTTTATTACCTGTTCCAATGAGTCCTTCTATTGGTGGGGAATCTGACACCCAGAAAGATATAAGAACTGGCAGCACTTTTCGCTGGAGATCTGTGACAGAGCTGGGATTTGACTTTGTACAATAAAAATCTCAGTTTAATACTGTAGTCCAAAGTTTGCTGCCTGTAAACTTCAGAGTGAGAACTAATCTTGTGAGGCTCTTTTCCAAATTTTTTGTTCATTTTCAGTATAGCAAGTAATCTGGGAGGTAGTAGTTGTTTGCTCTAACGGGAGACATTATGTATCACTTGAGCCATAATTATGGTGTGGTAAAATCTGTATCTTCTAGCCTTGTACTTTTTGCACCTCCCAGACATCTAGTGCAGAATATGAGAGTTATTAGAAAGGTTTGTTTTATTACACCATGCTTGTGAATTTTTGCAACAAAAAATGACATGAGCATCAAAGGGTGATAGAAAAACGTCTCTGGGAAGTGATTTTCCCTAAAATCTGGGACATTTTATTACTGATTTTTCATCCCAGTGATGCTGTATCATTGTGCTTCCCTCTACCTTAGTTTCCACATCTGCTAAAGCATTAAGACAACTTTTGAAAGTAGTATTGAGAGCAGTGAGAAGAATTACAAAACAATCAAACAATCGTGAGGAAATGCACTTAAAAAGAAGAAATAGGAGGAAATCAGCTGAAATAAGCACCCCTTAGTTCACTGAGAATAAGCAGCAAAGAATCAAAACCACCATGAAAGCTAAAAGCATCGTCAAACAGAGAGGAGGAGTTTTGAGCAGGAAATGGGAAGCAGAAAAGTTGATAATGGAATCCATTGTAATGAAGAAGAAATAACAGAAATTGCATAACAACTCAAAAAAATAAAAAAAAAAAAGAAAGAAAAAGAAAACAATGTACTGAACAGTCATGTTCTGATTTGTTTGCCCAAGATCTCTTATGATCCCGATAGGAACCCTGGTAAAAAGAAATGCAAACAGTGCAGAGAAAGCCTGGGGAACAACAACCCACCAAACTGCTAAAGTTAACTTCTTTTGGAGCAGCTGTTAAAATGAGCAAAGGCATCAGAGCATTTGTGGAGTTTAGATCTGTTGTAAAGACAAATTGCAGGGGCAAGTGTAGTGTCAAAGTTTACTTGTCACAGGCATCCTGGTGAATTAAGCCAGGAGATAGGCTGCTGCTGATTTCAGTAGGAAACTGGTCTATGCTTAGGAAGATGTTCAGATGACTCAATTGTTAGAAATTCCTGGAGGTGATGCTTGAACGTTTTCATGACTCATAGCTGCATAATTGATTTGCTCCTGTTTGCAGAAGTTTTATTGTTCTTGTGCAAAGAATCTGATTGTTAGAAATGTTTACAAAGCTCTTGAGTTTCACTGATGTAATTCTTCATCTCAGAACCGAGTTTTGACTACTGGTTGATCATTCTGGCTTATTGTACCAGCTTTCCAGTGGTGGATGGCAGGCAGTTTTGTTCCATAAATGACACCAAAGGAATGCCACAGTGAAGTGATTTGCATGAGATAGGCAGGATAGAGACCAGTGGTCAGAGTGGGTGCTGGGGGAATTTGCAATGTGCAGTGTATTGCTTCTTTGTCAGAAATCTGACAAATATGAGTCTTGGCCTTTTAGACTACAGACCTTTTAGGGTAAGGCCTGACCTGGTCAGATGGTTAGTTTCTCCTTCTTTTGCTTGATTAATGTCAGTACAGCCCATAGCCAATGTGAGTTTGAGGTCTGGCTGGGACAGGAAGCAGAGATTTCTTAAGAAGTGAGAGATGCTTTGCACTGAACAGTCCCCTTATAATCCCAGATGGACCAGGATGTGCAGAGTACCAGAGAGGCATGTGAACACAGTTTTGGCTGAAGGAGGGGGACATCCTTATGTTAATTAAAGTTCTTTTTAGCCATTTGGAGGCCCTAGGCATTCAACTTGCTTAAGAGTCAAGGAAATCTTCCTGCCTTTGACTATACATGTTAAAACAGGTAATACAGGTTGTAGGTATCTGGTTTTGATCCCTTCATAGCCAAATTTTGAAGTGTTTGGTTCAGTGCAGTAGATTTCCCAGGAATCACATTCAATCAGATCTCATCTTGTAGGCTAGGTCTGGGTTTTGAGGACTGCATTGAGTTTTCAGACCTCTGACCTTACTTGTAAAATGAGCACTTTATCTATCCCTGTCTTGGCTTCTCACATGTGAAGTGAAAGACATAAATAATTCACTGCTCTGTTTAGAGCAAACTTTTCCAGGAACAAGGGCAGTATTACAGTAACACTCTCAAACAATCCAGGTGCAATGCCAACAACCAAAGGTCTGAGTAAAACTGGCACTATGTTGGCATTAGAAGAGAAGCTTTGTAAGCACTTCAGTATTAAAATATACTTGGTTTTGAGGTTTGAGCTTTACAACCCAATGAGTCCCTTCTGTTATGTGTTCTGTGTAGTGTAAGCACTTCGTAACAGAGAGGAAATAGGAGAATTTTGCTCTAAATGTTACGAGAAATGTCCTCTGGCATTTGAATCAACAAAAGGCAGGCATTTGTTAAACAGCAAGCTGAACATTTCTTTTTAAATCATCCTTTTCCCTTTTCTTCCAGGAAACGTGACCAGGAATTGTACAAGCCAGGGCTGGACGGATGTGTACCCTGCACCATATGCCATCGCTTGTGGATATGATTCCAACAGCACTCCAGGGGAAGAGGTTTGTAAACCTGGATGGGTAGACATCAAAATTTACCAGAGATTGATATCAGAATCGCATGATCTTTCTATGCCCAATTTTTTTTCATTCCCACTCTGATTTCTCAAGAAGGAAAGATCCTCTTGAGGATCCCTGGAAGCAGAGATCAAATGTCTGGTCAAAGAGATGATCCTCCCATTGATTTATATCCAGAGTGGTGGCAGGAAATCATCACCTGAGATCAGACCAGAGTCTTTTTGATACCCACAAGTAATTTCAGGTGCTTGATTTTCCATGTTTGAAATGAGCCCTCCACGTTTATATTTACCCTTAAGTAGATATGATGATTCCAGTATTTCTAGGCCAACATAAGCCTAAAAAGAGCTAAAGCACATAACATAAAGCACATAACAGTGCTGCTCTGCTGATCTCAGCCAGCTAAAGATGTAGACAGCTGTAGCTAACACACATATTTTCATGCATTGTTACTGAGTTTTGTAAGGAAATCGTAGAATGGTTTCAATTGGAAGGGACCTTAAAGATCATCTGTTTTCAACCCCTGCTATGAAGAAAGCTGCTCTGAGGTCTCCCAGAGCCTTCTTTTCGCCAGGCTGAACACATCCTCCCTTTCTTCTGTTGTATGACATATGTCAGTGTTTCTGAATGTTGGACATAGGAATCTCCATAAGGAATAAATATATGTGGTAGTAGGTCTTTGTGTATGGTCACACATTACCAAGGTACTCAAAGAGTTAATGGAGAATCTGAATAGAACTCAGCTAGCCTTAATAGTGAAAGAATACAGAAAATAGCAAAGGAAAACTTGCACAAAGAATTTCAGGGCTCTCCTGAGGAGAGCCTTCGAAGTCAGCCACCACTTCACGTCCTCAAGTGTCCATTTCTCAGATCAAGCTGTGTGGCACCACTTGCATGTTACCAAATCCCTTGTTAGAGGTCTGCTCTGGAAGGTCCTCCATCAAGAGCTCTGGGTTTTGTTCCAGCTGCAAAGGAGATTTGGGAATTCTTGGGACATGCTTTGGCGACCCAATGGATTGCAGTGTTGCCAGAGTGCTATGTTACCAAGAGAACATGTATTGTGTTCTTTTAATTCTTTCTTAATTATTTTCTTTTGATTTCCACAGTTTTGTCATGCTGTTTAAGACTAAATTTGTGTGAAAGGTGGCTGAGGGGGGTGAACAAGCAGTACTAGGCTGTGAAGAATAGAGTTTTGTTGTTGTTGAATTGGCTGTCAGTTTAGGGAGGAAGAAGTAAAGAGGATAGAAAAAAAGGAGAACAGCAGGCTGTGTGGGACATGAAGTTCAGAACACACTGATAACCTTCCATGCTTAAAACACTCCATGCACTCTTAACACGTACTGGTTTCAAGTCAGAAACAAGAAATAAGATATGAATAATAAATAAAGACTGCATGTAGGAATTTTTATCTGTGAATTCTGGCCATCCCTAAGAAGGAGACAATGTAACCATCGAAGTAGTGCACTTACAGTCTTTGCAGTGATTCCTTCTCCAGCCTGACCTTTAATACCCATGTATTAGCAAGTGCTTTGCTGTTCCACTATCAGACGTGATGCACAGCTCCTGCCTTGTGTGCCTTCATCCAGTCAAAGAGGAGGCACCCCAGGCATCCCCATGGGCTCTGACTAAAGATGGTGAAGAAAATAGACACCTCCAGAGGTCATTTCACCCTGCATTTGTCTTCAAAGGGACCTCTTTGCATTTACTATATACTATAGAGGGAACCCAGATGACTTTAGGCTAGATGATATGAACCAGAAACATGTTTGGGTACAGGGCTACTGAAAGACTTGATATCAGTATTTCTTTACTTTTTCTCTTAAAAACGTAATGTTTCACATTCTAATCTCAGTTGCCAAGGCACAAATGTAGAGGTTACTGAACAGACAACCAAGGAAGCTAATTCTCAGTTCATCTCAGTTTAACATCTACCCTAACTAATTATATTAAGCAGGGGCTTTTAGAAGTCAGAGAGAAATCTGCCTAATTTTATTCTGTAAATCACTTTAGGTCCACAGTTTGAACTCAGGCATCCTGGCATGCATTTCCTTCACTTCTCTAGATCCCTCTTTTTTTGTAGGAAGATTATTTTAGTAATCTGAACTCAGAGTAAAATTCTAATTGCATTTATGATCTTGGGTCAAATTCTCTGCTTTGATACCTGTAGAATAGGAAGTGATTGTCATTAGCAAGTACAAATGAAGACTGAGAAGTCGGTATGTGCTGTTTCCAGAACAGAGATGACCCCACATGGTACATTAAGGGTGAAGGCAGAGCCATCTCTCTGTACACAAGGATTAGTTGTTGTAAAATATAAAAGCAAGTAATTGCTTGTTAAATAATACCAAGATTTTTCTGTGCATAACTTGCTCCTGTGAATAACTCAAAGAAGCAAAAGGCCTATACCGGTATTGACACTGTGCTGGTGGAGAGTTTCCATCCACCACCCCACTACCGATGTCTCCTGTGATACCTCTTAATTTCCTTTCCCCCATTCCACTGCTCTCCTAAATACAGTGTGGGACAACCTCTTCTTCAAACTTAGTCCCCTACCACAAGCTCTGTCCTTCTGCTGGCCAGGTCTTTCCTGGAACACTTCTGCTGTGGTGCTATCAAGAAGGAAACTAGATAATGAGAGAAAGACAAAATCAACACGAAATTGGTTGATTTTATTGGAAAAGTCTCAGCTGCCTTTGGGATCCCAAACTGAAAGAAGACTGGAGTCTTCTTTGTAGTTAGCTTTGGGTGGAATCTGCGAGACAGTGGGGTAGAAAGGTAGAACCTCTACTTTTCCTTTCTGTAGTGCAAGCCTCTCTATGCAGTGCAGATGAACAAGATGGTTTGACTCCATCACCATAGCAGTCTCCTGGCATCATATGGGCAAGATCAGGTAGATAAACTGACCTGAAACCCTTGCTATGAAGTATGTGTTCAGAGTTACTGACCTAAAGCTCTTAGTGATGTGGATTCATTGAATGGGGTTGTAAAGACATTGTGCTTTTAGCCATCTTTGGTCTAAGAAGCAACAGAGACATGACCAGTGTAACCTTTCCTCTCTCTGAAAGCTCTGTCTTAACACCCCTCCAAGCTGGCTGTGCAGATGCTAGAGGATTGGTACTCAGCCTCACCGGTTCTTTAAAGTACTTAGTACTTGTCGAGCAAGGCCTATGAAAATAGCGTATGGAAATGTCAGCCCTCACTGTTATTACAGAATGTTTTCCCAGACAAGGTTGGTCTTAGATTTTCTGTTTAAACTCTCTTCATAGTTCTTGTTGTTTGGATTTTTTTATAGAAAATGGTGACAAGGAGGGCAGAGGAGCACCAATGAAGGGCTGGAAAAATAGGATTTTCCACAAACTGAGTTAGAATCTCATAAAACCAAGGATTTTTCATTGATAAAACAAATGTCCAAATACCAACTGATTTTTTGCCCTTTTTTTAAGCTGAAAACCAGAATATATTGATTTAGAGTGTTGCTGGAGAGCCTTAGGAGGGCTGGAGTTTTGTTGCCTTACACATTTTATTTAGACCAGGATTCCCTATTGGATTTAAGTCCTGTGGTGCCCTGTGCTTAGAGATACCCTCTGTGTGCTGTCAAAGAGAAAAGCCATAAACTAATTTCCAACTTAACGTATATTTCTGAATTAACAGGTCTCTGATTTCATTGAGAACATTTTAAGCTTTCACTTGCGAAAACACGTCTAGCTTCGACAAAAGCGAACCAATTTCCACACCAGTTCTGTCTTCAAACTTCCTTAACAAGATGAAGCTCATTATACTCACCACCTCAGAGCTAATGTGTCACTGCGATGTTTGAGTGAACACTGGTCATTCTTGTTCCACAAGGTTATAACCATGTAGTTGTCTCTGCAAGTGTCAAATCAGACTCCTTCCTGCATGTAATTTTCCCTTGTGTGACTGTAACCTGGTTTTGGAGTGACCCAAGCTCTACTGCAACTGGACACATTCTTCATATTCACACCGGTGGTATTTGAGTCATGTACTTTATTGGATGTGATTTTAAAGGATGAAGGAGTTGTAGTAGGATGATTTCCTTGTCTCACCAAGAAAGTTAGTAAAAGCCCAGTGATGGTGTATTTAGGAATACATGTTGCCAGCTCTTTGAAAGATATGTTTTGTTTCTTTCCTTCACATTAGCAAACGGCATTCTATGGCACTGTCAAGACCGGCTACACAATTGGACATACCTTATCGCTCATTGCTCTCACAGCTGCTATGATCATTTTATGTCTCTTCAGGTAAGACTATGAACAAAAAAGTTATATATAAGGGGATGACTCAAAGGACATAGCGGCTCTCTAAGTTATAGGCTGTGAGTATTACAGATGGATGCAAAGGACTTCTGTTAAGTCTCAGTTGGACAGAGGAGAAAAGTTCCACAATCTTTCCATACGACAGTTTTCTGGCATGCTTCCTTTGGCTTTGTGTGAGAGTTAAAACCCCAATCCAATTATTATAGGAGGATTCATCTCACTAATGTTATGTGATGGCTCTCCGTATTAGAGGCCATTATCACATAATCGTTACAGTCCAAAGAGCTAGTCAGTATGGTATATATGGATACTATGGAATGATGCATTTCTACTAAAGTAGGTATTAAAAATGGTACAGGTGAATCACACCCTAAAGCTACCTCCCGAAGTCTATTTCAAAAATGCTTCGTGCTATACCTGTATGGCAAGACATAGATATCCAGAGCCATTCTAGATATGCTGGAGCCTCTAAGATGTTCACAAGGGAAGCAGATGTGATAGAGCACCTTCAGGAGGCCCAGGCCTATATGGATTGATGGGCAGATACTCTACAGCATATCAAATGGCATTAGATGCCTAAATTGCAGCAAATTAATTAATCTTCAGTCTTTATAATAGACTCAGGCATCTAAATTTGGATGCCTCCAAAGAAGAAGATAAATGTAAGATAATCTCCTATTATAATGTTGTTTATGTCTAGGGAGAATAGCAAGAAGTAGACCTCCATGAGGCAGAAGAACCTTTTAGATGTGATTCCACCTCCTCATGCCACTTTCCAGTGGCTTTCCTGAAATGTGTTATATGGTTGTCCAATTTATAACAGTCTGGTCAGACATCGCCCCCAGAGAAAGCTGTAGGAAATAGCACGTTCTAGGGTTATTTTCACGCTTACGTGAAGACTGGCCTTAACCTTCAAGATACTTGCATTTCTCAGCACATGCACTCTCTCCACTCCTCTTACAAGGGAAGCATGAATCAGACACATCATAGGCAAATTGTCTCATCTCAGCAAGGTACAAGGTGCCAGCCGAGTTGGTGAAACTGTTGGGTTCACACTTTTCATTTGTTGGAAACAGAGTAATTTGACTTGCCTTCCCCTGCAAGTACAGAGGACTCAGCTCAGTCACATTTTCTTGCCACTGTCAGAGATAAAGAGCATAAACTCTGCCAATGCACAGTGACTCATTAAGAGGTGGTAATTTGATCATGTTGCTGAGTGAGGTCTGTGGTGGTTCTGATGACTGTACAAAGTACCCATTTCCAGAGTATTAAGCCTTTCACTTTAGCTAATACAAAGTCTTGCTGGAAAAGAAGACCTACTTGATCAGTATTAATATTCAAAATAGTAGTAGGCAAGGGACAGGAAAACCCTGGTGGTGTTCTCAATATCATTAATAATGAGTCATTTTAAAATAAAAATGTATTTTGTATTGCTCCAGAAAGCCTGTAATATGTGTTAATTTTGGTAGCAGCTGCTAATATTTTATTTCTATTCCTGAGGAAACATTTCACTTGGAAAAGAATTATTACAGTACAGGCATTCTGTAGAAAACAGACCTGTATCATGAGCACAGTTTGCTCAGCCAAAAACATTTCTTTTTCTAGTGGAGAGCAGTGTGATGGGCCTGTTTTCTGTCATTCTGTATTTTGACCTTTTTTCCTGAGAACTGGAAAAGCAGCAACACTGCTGCAGATGTATGGATTGCCACATGTTTTGTGGATTTAAAAAGGCTTAAGTGGATTTGCAGTGATTTACATCAGAACATAGTCTGTCTCAGGGTTTCTAATGTTTAGTTGTATGTTGATGTCTTTGGTAAATGAAACGTAAAGAAATAAATAATACTTTTGAGAAGCCTTGCTATTTGGAAATGTTGTTTCATCTCTTCCCAACAGAAAGCTACACTGTACTCGAAATTATATTCATATGCACCTCTTTATGTCCTTTATAATGAGAGCCATCGCAGTATTCATAAAAGATGTCATCCTATTTGAAAGTGGAGAATCTGAACACTGCTTTGTGAGTTCAGTAAGTAGCCATGCACATTGAAGTTTCCACCTTATTCTGTTTCCCCTCCTAAACAATGCACCAAAAATTACCTTGCAAATGTATGTGAGACACTACTTTGGGAAGATTTCATGGGTTTGGTTTTTTTTGGTTTTTTTCTCTCTTGAAGAAAACAAAAATGTTATTGTAATATTATAAATTAAATAAAAAATTATTTAATTTGTATGGAAAAGGCATAAAATAAATTAGCAGGGTCAAAAGTTTATAGGCAACTGGTCTTCTAAGGTCAAAGCCACAGCTGGGCCTCTACAAGATTTTGGACCTCCTGTCAGTCCTGTGTCCATCTTCCAGTCCCATGCTAGTTTCTTGGATATGCTGGTCAAAAGAGACTTCCAGTCCTGTGTTTTGGGATTCAATAAAACCTTTCCCTTCAGTGAGGGTGGGAGTCAGATCCAGATACTTTAGGCATCTACGGGGTAAGTACCTACACATGAGCTATGTGTGTAAAGTGCAGACACAGTCAGTCAAGCTCTAATTAATATATTCACTGGAGTCTGGAGAGTGCTTCACCTCACTTTGAAGAAGGCACCTGCATTTGGATGGCTCTCTGGGCTCCAGTGATTGCAGTCACCATATCTCTGCAGGAGTTTAGGCAGGAAACCTGTATGTAGACATCACTCTATTTTTCATCCGGATCCGTATCCCTCACCAGCTGTCTGCAACTGTGAGATTTCCCAATTGTGATGATAAATGAGGGGAATAAAGGAGTTAGGATATTTTTTTCACTTTCAAACTCAGTGTTATCAGCTGGAGCAAACATTAAGGAGGGAGAAGAGCTATTTATCTAAAGGCCATATTGACACAAGAGGACACTGATCATGAATAAATTCAGGCAGGAAGTTGAAGTCACCATAATAAAGAGATGTGATCAGAAGTCATTAAAAAAAAAAAAACCAAAAAAACTCTTCATAGTAAATTCATAGCATTAGAAAAGCTGCTTGCTGGCAATAGCAGGGGACTGGGCACAGCAGCCAGCAGATCCCTTCTGGACCTGGGGTTTTATGTCATGCAGCACTAGAAAAAGATTCTCTTTTCTCTTCCATCCACCCGATTTCTTCCTTGCCTTCTGGGTTTTCTCTACCCTTACCCTGAGTCCTGCCCATGCTGTTATAATGACCTTTCTGCTTGAGCATCTCTCACTTAATATCAACTGGTCCCTGCACTTCCCTGAGAATATCTAAAGCATGATGCATTCCTTTTGCAGGTTCCTGCCCCTTCTCTGTGGTTCACTGGGATCTGTATTCTTTAGAAATAGTTTGCTTTTTTGCAGAAGTTTGATTTTGAAGGTCTGTGAATGGTTAGAATGGCATATGAACTGGAATAAACAATTGCCCGGTGTCTGCTGCCACAGATAACTGCCAATGCTAATTGGCAGAGAAGCCAAGAACCCAATGAGCCATGGAGTTTGAACTAACCTCTCACCCCTGCAAGAGTTTCCACTGGGTCGTGACTGAGGCACGACTGCAAAAAAGCTGTGTGAGAAACACTTGCTTCAACTGCCCATCCAGAAACACTTCTATGTATAAATACAGGACTTTGTCCTGCAGAACCCACAGCTCCTGAAAGCCAGTCTGTTTCTGGCAGACCCATGGCTACCATCATTGTGTGAGTTTCTCCCCATCAGAGGATTTTCATGTTAAATGCCAGCTCAGGGTGAATGGCTGGATGATACACAAGGGTTATAAAAATATGTGGAACAAATCTGTCTCTGCTGTACTAAACTGAGCATACCCTTGCGAAATCTTCACCTATGTTGACCCAGCATTTTGGACAACCTTCTAGGTCATAGGGGAAGGAATAGCTACATGAAATGCAGTCAAAATGCCTCTCCTAATATTCATCTGTTTGCAGAAATAGTTATAAAATCCATTGTGTTTACATGGGTTTGGTTGGGTTAGGTTGGCTTGGGTTAAGTTAAATAATTGGATGTTTTATGCTTTGGACTTGTAGGATAAAGTTTCAACTTGGGAGACCTGGGTACTAGTTCATATACTCAGGGCCTAATACAGAATTTACTGAAGATTTTGTGTGTAATAGCTGGGTATGGCCTTGAGCTCGTTCAGTCTGAGGAGAGATTTGAACAAACAATTCAATTTACCAAATGGTTTCACTGCTATGCTGCTTTAGAAAAGGGCACAACCAAAGCTATAACAATGTTCTGTTAGAAGAGAAAGTACTGCACTTAGGTCCTTTAAGGAAAAAAAGGATAAAGGCACCTCTGTTCTGGAACAGATTCAGGGCTATAAATGAACAGACTTCTCTCCCAGCATTTCTGGTAAAGGGACAAAATTCCTGAATTTGACATTACCTGTTGCAGTAATAAGACTTAAAATTATGTTTCATGCACCAGCCACACAAAAATATTTTAAGCTCTCCATGAACAAGTGTGTCAATACTCCAATCAAGCAGGAACTCCACTACATGTAGGTGTATATGTAATTGAAAAAAATAATTCTTCATAGGCTTTGCATTTTCACTTCATTTTGCCTACTGTGGGAAAGCTCAGTTATGATGTTAACTCTATGCCATTTTAAATTTAAATAGTTTTAATTGCCATTGAGTTCAACATGAACACCCCAAAAAATTAAATTTGTTGGGCATTTCTATGGGCCACAGAGCCTGAGAATGTGGCAGTAAGCATTTCAGGGCTAATGCGACCAAAATACGTGTGATAAGCATCACTGAACCATCATGTGAAACAGAATATACACCATGCTCTGGACGATGTTTACAGAGTGTGATGTGTGGCACCTGTAGCCTCCTTAAATGCCTTGGTCCTTTCTTGATATACCCACTCCTAGCAGAAAGAAAAGTCTTGCTGCATGGGTGAAAAATTCAGCCTGTTTTCATGGGACAGAAGCACTGAGTTGGCAAGCAAGGAGGCCTTTTTATATGTAAGCTAAGTGTATCTTACGTAATCATTGATCTCAGGACCTGCCCAAGGTGGCCCAGGCTTTTTGTCCTGCACCAAAAAAACTCAGCAGCAGTAGCTTTACAAATGTCCCTCATACCTTCTTCTCTCCCCAGCTGCCCAAATCAACCAGGCTTGTTCTTAGGCAAAATGAGGATCCCTTGGCTGATGTAGAAGCATGCAGACTGACCTTCAGAGAAGGCTGGCCCTCTAAAAATCCACTGTGGGATTTTCCAGTGGAAAACAAAGAACTGCAGGGACCTCGAATTTGCTAGAGAGGTACAAACAGCAGAGTCCGATGGCCACATATGCACACAGCATATTGCCCTAGGGACCAACAGTCATTAGCAGACAAAACCACTTTCTCTGTCATGCATTCAGTCATAAAGTATGTCTGCAATTATTTGTAACTGAATCATCCTGTTGTCTTAAATTGCTTAAAAAAAAGCATATACCCTGCTTTAAGCACTCAGATGTAGAAATGGGGAGGGATCTATGAAATCACCCACTCAAACTTCTTCAATAACTATTAATTTTGATTCATTCAGAATATGTTCTGTCTCAGCAGTCAGTCATTTCTAATGGAAATCTCGCTACCCATGGCTTTACTGCATCCAGCAATTACTCATACAGCATGAAAAATTGTGCCACTTTCCAGCCTGTGTTTGCCGGCATTCTTCTGGTTGGTTTTTTCACTGCCAGACTCAAGAGGCCTCCTTACAAGTTTTAGTTTTTCACATTGGTTTAATAGGCCTAGTGACCTTCAGTCTTGGCATTCCCACACTTTGTCTTCCCCTTCCCTTCTCTCCTTGGAGACCAGGCTGTGAAATACAGTACCCAAAACAGCAAACCTGGTAGAAAGATTGAACTGAACACTTCAATTGTTCAGTTAAGGAGTAGTCCAGTGAAGTTCCTACTGACTGGAAAAGGGGAATCATAACCTCTATTTTTAAAAAGGAAAAAATAAAGACCTAGGGAACTACAGGCCAGTCAGTCTCACCTCAGTGCCCAGCAAGATTGCGGACCAGATCCTCCTAGAAACTATGCTAAGGCACATGGACAATAAGGGGGTGGCTGGTGACAGCCAACACAGCTTCACTAAGGACAAATCATGCCTGACAACTTGGTGGACTTCTATAATGGGATCATGGAGTTGGTGCATAAGGGAAGAACAACTGACACAACCTTCCTGGACTTGTGTAAGGCATTTGACGCTGTCCCATACAAGATCCTTGTCTCTAAATTGGGAAGGCATGAGTTTGATGGATGGAGCACTCAGTAGATAAGAATCGGCTGGATGGTTGCTCCCAAAGGGTTGTGATCAATGGTTCGATGGCAAAGAGGAGACAAGTGACAAGTGGTGTTCCTCAGGGATCAGACTTTACAAGGACATGTAGTGATAGGACAAGGGGGAATGGCCTTAAGCTGAAAGAAGGTAAAATTAGATCAGATATTAGGAAGAAGTTCTCTGTGAGGGTGAAGAGGCACAGGTTGCCCAAAGAAGCTGTGGCTGCCCCATCCCTGGCAGTGTTCAAGGCCAGGTTGGACGAGACTTTGAGCAACCTTGTCTAGTGGAAGGTGTCCCTGCCCATGGCAGGGGGTTGGAACAGAATGAGCTTTAAGGTCCCTTCCAACCCCAAAAATTCTATGATTTTATGATTGTTGTTTCATTTGGTTTTTTGTGGGTTTATGGATAGGTTTTTACATAGTTTCTCTACCATCATATATTGATGATAGCATAAAGATGAACCACTTACATTTCCAATCTAGCTGAAGACAAAGAAGCTGTCAGTTTGATACAAACAAAGATCAGGTTCTATAGATTGAATTCAGGCTGAGTTTTTCTGAGCTTTGCAAATTTATCTTTAGTGAGGATTCAGACAAGAGAAACTAGATCGTTTATCTTTTTCCTTTGCATTCCAGTAAGAAATTCCAACAAAAAATTCTTCTTTGCAAAGGAGTGTGGGATTCCTAGCAGTTGTGAACATATACACATATATTATCAGTGTAAAAAATAGATTTTTTCCCTCAGGCCAAATTGATAATATCT